TGGAAAGATTATATTACAAACATGAATGGCCTGCATCTAGTATAGGGGTTATTTATTGAACATGATTTATTAGCTAAGAAATTAAATATTTCTTCCTCAGTATAATTCTTTTTATTTCAAGCTATAAGGATGGGATTGTGATTATTATGGACATCAGCAAAAAGGGAGACATTGTTCATCGCCTGAGAGGTCATGATGATGAAATACATTCCTTAGCATGGTGCCCTATGCTTGGTGAAGATGCTATATTCAGTAAACAAGAAGATTTCCAAGGTACATACAAAGCATATGTATTGCAGTATAAAAGCAATGTACAGTTTTGAAATAATATCAGCTTCTATAATGGAGCCCAAAAAGACAATATAGTTTTCATTTGAAAATAAAATGATACTATTTTTAATCTGATTTTTTTGGTTCTTTTGGAAGAAGATGCCATTACTGGAGGTATAACAGAAGAAGGGGGTGTAGAAAAAGGCTATTATTTGGCCTCAGGAAGCAAAGATCAGACCATTCGTGTATGGAGCTGTAGTACAAATAGAGGTAAGTCTGGAGAAATTATACTTTATTTAACAGTACAATGTGGCATTTTTTTTCTCTGTTTTCTTTGTGCTTGGTTATGTTAACTGTTTATCAATTAGAGTTGAAAAGTGTAATTGCAAAATTCTAATAATTTGAAGAAGAGAGTTGCCTCTTCAACTGTAATTTTACATAGCATCCAACCCTGAATGAAATAGGAAAAGAGAGCTGAAATTTGTTGAAATAACATATAGTCTTTCTTTATAATAAAGCCAACAATGATATTGCTAAAGTTACTCAGATTCCCTCGAAGCTTGTACTCTGATTGGGCAAGTCTTGTTGAAGTGCCTGAGGCTCAGTCTTGGAGGTTTAGCTAGGATGAGTTTGAGCCTGTAACTCCTGAGAAATAGGATAGGGTCCTTCAGACTATGACTTTCGTCATCTGTTTATTAGATTCATGCCTCTCCTGGTTTATTAAGGCTGCTCAGGAGTTCTGTCGCTTTACTCGAGGGAGGAGTAGTTCTGCTGGGCTTAACAGAGGCTGTAGTGTACCATTGCTAGACTCAATAATCCTGGACAACTTTTGTGTAGTCTCCAAGGTAGTCAGACTTCAGCTCCAGAGGGTCCTGGAGGAAATGAATTATCTGGACCTGTTTCAGTCAGGTGTCAGCCCAGTGAAACAACACTGATCATGCTTGTAGATGACCTCCGGCAGAACCAGGATGGGAGTGGTACAACTGTGCTGGTTCTTAATCTTTCAATGGCTTTCAATGCCATTGAGCATCATTTTGGACTGACTACAGCAATTGGGGATAGGAGCACTGTGTTCTGGTTTTCCTTTCCCTGCATATGGTTCCAGTCAGTATTGCTGAGGGAGACTTTGAGGCCAAGGTCCCTTACCTGTGGGCTGCCTCAGGGCTTGTTGCTCTTTTTGTTTAACATCTACATGAAGCTGCCAGAATGAGGTAATCCATCATTCAGGGTCCAGTACTAACAGATGATCAGATGAGACCCAATTTTATATCTCAACCCTAGGTTGCCCAAGCAATGCAGCTGATATCTTGTCCTAGTATTTGAAGGTCAGGATAGGGAAGACCAGACTAGGCTGAGCCTAGAAAGACTTCAGTGGCTGTGGGTATTTGGGCTGTTTGAGCCCGGAAATATTTCATCTTTAGTCCTGGATGGGATAGCACGTCACTATTCAAGACTGGTGCAGTCTGAGGGTGTTCTTGGATTTGCAACTCCTGTCAGAGAGAGGTGGCCAGGAAGGCCTTGTGTCAGTTGTGCCCATTTCTGAACTGGGAAGCCCTTCAGATGGTCACTTGCCTCTTATCACTTCACATGTGGACTATTGCTATGTGCTCTACATGGGGCTGCCCTTGCAAACCTCTCAGAAGCTACAGATGGTCCAGGGTGCAATGGGGCAGGCAGAAATGTGCATGTCTCAGTATGCCCATGTACCCCACTGATGTGCAGGCTGTACTGGTTGCCATTTAGCTTTCGCATGCATTTCAAAATGCTGATTATTACTATAAAGCCCTTCATGGCATAGGGCCCAGTTATCTGAGGGATCCCCTGTCTCCAATTGCTTTGCCCATCCTGTACAAGCAGACTGAACAGGATGCTCCAAGTCTCATCAATTAAATAATGTAATCTGTTCCCAGGAAGCACATATTTTCTGTCGCAGCATTTGCCCCTAGAACAGCATTCCCCCAGAGATATGTGCAGCTTCCACCATAACAATATTTAAGAAGTCCTTGAAAATCTGGCGTTCTAAGCTTAATAAATAAATAAATTGTGTGTGTTCAGTCGGAAATAAGACCTATTGTGTTCAATAGTATTTATGTCTGTATCAGTCTGTGTCTTATAGATGTGTTCAAAAGTTTTTGTTTTTGTTTAGTAAAAATTATGTGGGACAGAATTTTCATTCTGGAATCTCTTCTTTATCTTGATATCGATGCAGGCTTGAAGTCTCTAATTTTTTTTTTCTTTTTGCTAGTGATAATGAGCTTGAAATTGCCCTTTTTGAAAAGAAGAGGTGGAGGTGTTGAACCAATGGTCAAAGAGCGTCTTTGGTTAACACTACACTGGCCCCCAAATCAGCCCACATACATTCTCTCCAGCTGCTTTGGGTGAGTTGTCTCTCAAATTAAATTGGCTGAGTGGGAGGCAAAACTATAGGAAAATAAGTTTGGGGAAGCTGTGGACTAATTCCTTGGCATTATAGATCTTCAGTGTTTTCTCAATACATATTCAAAAGATAGCCTTTCTTCTTTCTAAGCAGTTTGCTTTATATTCCCCAAAAGCACCCTCTGAATGTGTCAGGATTACAACTCCTAAAATCCTGAGGCTTTGGACATGTAGGCTCAAATTCTAGGAATTGCATCTTCAACATGCCTGGAAAGCACTAGTTTGGGGAGATTTGGTGTATGCCTTTATACTTGTATGATACACTTTTCCCAATTCTTAAAGGACCTGGAAAGATTTCCCTGTGAATTATAATGATCATTCTGTGCATGTGAGATAAAGCTTTTGAATTTTCCTTTTTTAATATAATTTTATTAGACTTCAAAACATTGCAGTTAATATTTGTTTTGAAGTGGTAGTTTATGATATTGTATATAAAGTAAATAGCAGTGTAACTCTATAATTATATTAGTGTTGTGTAAAAGATTATATATTTAAAAAACAGCCTACAGCCATATAACATAAACAGATTCTTGCTTTCTGTATGTTTTCTTTTCATAGAGGTGAACTGCTGAAGTGGGATTTGACCCAGCTTGGAAAGCGGAAATGGGAACTCCTGGGGACCTCATCTGAAGGACAAAACCATTCTAGAATAGTGTTCAACTTATGTACTTTGCAAGTGGAAGACAGACAGCTACTTTTTTCCATTTCGATGGACAGAGATGTAAGGATCATATGTCTTAGGTTTTTTTTTTTAAAAAACCTCCAGAATTACTGATCTGATGGGTTCCACAAATATCCCTGCTAAGCTACTATCAATGTTGAGCAATCTTTCCTGTGAAAATTCCCCCTCTGTTTCTTTCCATATCATTTTCACCGGGCCTTCCAGGACTCATTTGGCCTGAATCTACTTTGGTCTTCAACAGTTAACCTCTTAGGTCTCATGCAGAAGAATATGTTGAGACAAATAGTGCATTAGTTTTTTTAACCTTGAATCTTGCATTGTTTCTGGTATTTATAGAAGCTGGGGAGTAATTCTGGGGTATCTATCCCTGGAATCTCAGCAGGGATCTACTCAGCCTTAGAGCAGATCAGGGCTTCCCTTTGGAAATAAGGAAAAAATCTGTGGAAATTTTTCATAATTTTCCCACTGAACTTTATAGTGGCTTTTGATTTGGTGATTTTTTTTACTGAAGCTCCATCCATTTCTTTCTTTGTAGGTGAAGTGTTGGGATCTGGCAACTTCAAACTGCTGCTGGACTATGCCCTCTCTTGGGGGGTTTGTTTACAGCCTGGCCTTTTCCCCTGTAGATACAGGCTGTCTCGCTATTGGAGTTGGGGATAGCATGCTCCGAGTGTGGAACACCATGTCAATCAATAATCATTATGATGTGAAAACTTTCTGGCAGGGCATTAAATCCAAAGTCACAGCTGTAAGTGTGCTCCTGCTCTTCAATATACATTTGATTTTCAGACTGAAAATAATGGTTTCCTAAATTGGATATTGCTTATGCTTTATGTACTGTGCATGCTAATTATATACATATTTATTAAAATGTCATAAATAATAAATTAATTTAAAATACATGTCATTTTAAGTATATTATTTAAATGTATTAACAATAATAAAGCTTGCTCTATTGATTATGCTAATTATAGGTCACTGCTTATGTCATGGCCATCAAATAAGAAAATAATTCTCAGCATAATTTGAGCACAGATGTTAAGCTAATGAAAAATCATTATTAACAAAAACTGCTTTTAAGAACAACCCTAGAAAGTGGTATTTAAAAATAATGTAATGAACTGCTGTGAATTATAATTGACTTTGATCATGAGTCATTAAGCTTAATAACATTGTTCCATTACTGACAGTAGCTGAGGCTACTTGTATTAGTATGTTACTAGGCTGTATACATAGTATACCTGCTAATCTATCCAAAGAGAATGTAGATCTAATTATTTTAAATTGTCAATATACTTCGTGCAACACTTTATTTATTTGCTTGCTTGCTTGCTTTACCTACTTATAAGCAGCTTCAATCACAGAGAACTTTAAGCATTGTTAATTTTCTGTTTGTCGTGCTTTCTGCAAGTGAACTCCTACATGGTTTATGGAGAATGTCCTTCTGTATAAATGGCATGTTCTGCTGATGATTTAGTATGTTTGTGTATCAGTTGTGTTAATGTCACACACTGCAAATTGGATATAATTTGCATTGATCCACAAGACCAACAGTAGTGTTGAGATCTTTAGAGTGTTTTCTGCTTGCAGTTGGCTTGGCATCCAACGAAGGAAGGCTGTTTAGCTTTTGGAACAGATGATGGAAAAGTTGGCATTTATGACACCTACTCTAACAAGTAAGATACAACTATTTTTGTTAGTTAGTAGCTGGGTGCATATATAATATTGAAACATGGTTAGCTTTAACATGATTATATTTTTTTGAACAATCAATAAATGGCTGGTTCATGAAACACTATTCAATAAACCATAGTTCACAGATGATAATAACTGATAAGCCAAAACTGCCCAGATTTTGGCTTAGTATGAACTCAACCAGAGTGAGAGGGTTGATCAAAAGTAAGCTAGCACTTTGCAAGGATATCAGAACATATGAAGATAACTTTCCATTGCAAGACTCTTTGTCAGTGTCAGCTTAATTCCATAGGCTATTAAGGGTAAAGATGGAGACTTGATAAAAATATAGAATTAATATTTTAGCAATGTTTTAATGTAATTAATTCATTTACGTTAAAACACTATAAACCAAATCCAAGTTGATTCTAAGAAAACTTTCTGAAAGAACATTTTCAGAGCATGTTCCGATTCAAAATCTTCCAGAAACTCAGTTATTTGTCAGTTCTCTTCATAATTTGTTCTGTTACTTCATAATATTAGTATTACTCTTTAATTAGAATTCATTTTGGATGTCTATTCTTATCATTATCTTATCAAGTCATAGAAGAGGGCAAAATTTATCAAGAGAGGGGGTCATCAGTATTGTTACTGTTTCTTGTACTGAGAAAATACAAAGGAAATTGACACTATTCTGTGTACAACCAGACATACTTTTAAACTTATAAAAAAGTGCAGAGGGATCGTGAAAAATTTTGCTGTTCTAGGTTATAGAAATGGTTGAACCTTTCCTCATTTCTATTGATATTTTAAATAATGCTGATAGGAGTTATTTGAGATATTGTTATGTGCTTTCTTTAAAAATGACTCTGATTTCATCTACCTTTTCCTATTAGGCCTCCACAAGTCTCTAGTACATACCATAAGAAAACTGTGTACACTCTAGTCTGGGGACCTCCAGTTCCTCCACTGTCTTTACGTAAGTCTCAGAAATACATTTATAGTTCTTGAAATAGCCTTTACTTGGTCCCAATATTTTGGTAATGCTCTAGAAATAACATGATCTTCTCCCCCACCTCAGGTATGTCTTTTGGAAACCTGGGCACATTCCCCCAAAAAAGGATTTGTAGTACTTCCATATTTACTTTCCTCTCTTCAAAACACTGGAAATTTGAAGAATGCATTTCTTAGGGGTAATCTTCAAGGATAAGATTGTTTCCTTTTTTCTGTCATCACTGTTGAATAGACTACTGTAGCCAGGACAGATTGCTCCCTTCTGAACTCATAACTGACAGGCAGAGTTTGATTTAGGTTAAGGAATGTAGGTTTCTCAGGTGTTCTCTAGACTTCTTGACAATTAAGAGGTAGAGTTGGTTGTATATTGTTGAATGGAATATACAGCATTGAAGCCAAGTGACCTAGGGGAAAGTGAAAACTTTCATATGCATACAGGGTCAAGCAACAAGTGAAAGTTCTAGAAAATGAAAGTTTTGCAAAGGATGAGTGTTCTAGAGAGGCTGATGTAATTCATTCTGCTTCTTTTTCACTTATCCTTACTTCTCTCCATTGCCTAGCTAGCTCAACATATACCTGTTTTTTTCTCAGTGCAAGCAACTGCAACTGTGCTTGAGAAATGGTGGGAGGGGGGCTTGCTCAAACTAACTATAGCCATTTCTCCTTCAGTATCTAAGATGTGCATGACCACCATGCAGTCTGTATATTTTATCTATATAATACACATGCTACATCTTCAACATACCGTATTTTTCTGTCAATAAGACACCCCCATATACAAGATGCCCCCCACTTTTCCAACCCAAAATTAAGAAATCAATATTTTAAAGTTAGTGCAGAACACATT